GGGGGGGGGGGGGGGTGGATGGTTAATTGCTATTGTTCTTAAAGCTCGTCATCCCCCAGCGGTGGTTTATCCGGACTACTCCCATTTCAAACGGAGAAACGTCTCAGTTTATCACTCATAAATCACATTTTTTTGTGTGTTTTTTTTAGAGCTGGGTTTGCACAAATGTTCCTCACAAGTGCCTGCGTCAAAACGCCCCGTTTAGTGGAAACGCACACCTACCTCTTGATGTAGTTTTTCCCGTAGAGGATCTGCTGCAGAAGCGTGACGAGTCCGAAGGCGCAAATAAAGATGAAGCACAGGGACCTGCTGCCCAGCAGATCTTTGCCCGAGGACGGGTCCGCGTAAGCCATCCTGCGGCGCAGCATCCGCGGGCTGGCGGTGACACCCGCTTAGGTGTCTCTCTCCACGGCATCCAGGGGCGGGATCGCGGGTGTGGAGCCGGACACCGGACGGTCCATCTCCCGGCTACTGCGCTGCCCTCCCGGTGCGCATCGCTCTTTGTCTCTTTTTTTTTTTTTGCGATTCTGTGGCGGGCCTGTGTGCGCTCAAAATCTAAATCCAAACGCTTCCTATCTGCAAAAACGGGGCTGGTGCCAAACCTCCAAAAAAGGTCCCGGAGGTATTTCTCTGTTTCTATCGCACACTCGATGGATGAGAGCAGATTGCAGATTGCCCGAAATAGCGCACTCCAAGGGGGCTTCCAGATTCAACCTATGATGCTCAATCTGGCACCGCGTCGATGTAGAAACAGTTTTTTTCCCAGTTTGCAATATTCAGATTGATCTAAATGTTGGATTTAGATTAGGAAAAAAAAAAACGGACATCCCTCAGTCCTCGTTGGAAATCTGAACGAGGCGACGTGACTGAAATGGAAAAAAGGAGGAGGATGCGCCTTTTCTCAGCCGCGGGGGCGCGCCGCGCTCCTCTCACACGCTCCTTACTCAGCTAAAACACAAGGTCACGCTCCAGTTTTCAAGGATGCACGCGCACCTACAGTGTCCCAGAGCCCCAGGTCCGTTTGAGGGGGTCTGACCGCTTCCGGGGGTCTCTATGATTAAAAAATATCCCACATAAGAGCGTTTTTTTTTAGTTTGTTCCAGCACCACTCCATCTGCTCCATAAAAACCTGTGTCACATGACAAAGTAAATTTATGCTTATGTAATCGTTTCATTTAAAATGATATCTGGGTATGACAAAAAATAAATAAATACAAACGTACTATAGATATCCTGCTTATTCCTCCTGCAAATTAAACTAGATTAAGTTTTAATAGAGGTTGCAGTTGGACGCCACAATGTCGTTGGCCTTCTTAGATGGTGTTGAATAACTGGCAGGCTAATGTATTAATCAGTAGAGGCCGCTTAAGTTATTTATTGCACATAAGAGCCATTTCAGTTTTTAGCCAAAAACCCTCTCAAAGCGAATGCCAGATAGTCATCAAGCATTTTCTTCGCCAGTTTCCAAGTCAAAGCGTGGGAAAGGCCAGTAAAACAGCCCAAACAAGCTTAAGGCCGACGGCCAAGACCCTTCCGAGCCGGCCAGAATGTGGTTCTACTCACTTTGATATGGGTCTGCTCGAGAGGTTTAACAAGACAGAGATCCTGATCTGAAATAATTCCTTACAAACCCCTGTTTGTGAATTGCAACTGCTTCAAAAAAAATCATGCTTTACATCATGCATACTTGAATCCTTTGGCTGGATTATAGAGCAGTGTTTCCCCACCCTGGTCCCCACTTCCCTGCATCTTTTACAAGTTTGGGTACACCTGATTGAGATAAATAAGACTTCTTTTGCAACTCTTAGCTCTGCAGAAGGCTGATGAAGGTCAGTTCATTGGAATTAGGTGTGCTGGAGGAATGGGGAACATTGGAAAACGTGCAGGGCAATGTGCGTTGAGGACCAGGGTTGGGAAAACAGTAACGTATTTAAACCCGGGGTGCCAAACTCTAAAGTCTAGCTGCTTCAACACACCTGATTCTGATTAAACTGATCAGTTCAAAAGCTCCGCACAGGCCCACCAACGGCACATTGATGTAAATCAGGTGTGCTGAAGCAGGGGAAGCTTGTAAAACCTGCCTGACGGTGGCCCTGGAGGACAAACTTTGTACACCCCTGCGTTAAATATTTACATCCATTTGGGTATTTTCATGGAGGGCCATGTGATGTAGGCCATGGGAGTGTTCAAATGTATGCAAATCAAGGTTTTAATGTCTACTATGTGGCCAAAGATGTGCAAATCAACTAAAAAAATCAGACATATTACCAGAATACCAACAAATAAAAGAGAATTTCATAAAGGTACCTATTTTACCTTTAAAAAATAAAAACAAAAGTGCAAAAACATCATTTGTTGCATAACCTACATTTGTAGAGGCAAAAACTGTATCTGTTTGTATTATATTATTTGGCAAAAGAAGTGAGTAACTAAGACTGTGATGAGGGAACTGTTGGCAGCATTTTTAACGAATGAAGAAGTATTAACTGAACCGTTAGAAACAATAATTTTTATTAAAATGTTTGAAATACTGTATGCTTTTAAATTACGTGGGTTAAACTCTTCGCGTTTCTTCTCCATTTTTGTTATCAACCCTTTAATTCTTTTCGCATTTGTGCTCCCGCGCGTCATATTTCTGTGTTACACCGGAAGCAGCACGGACGTAATTTGATGCGACGCAGGCCCCTCTTCCGGTCTCTTTTCCCTTTGCCACCGGGCGAAAATGGTAAGCAGCGTCGCTGGCAGAAGGAAATCTTTTAACATCTACCCAATATGTGGCTAATCTGGGATGAATTTAACTTGCTTTTTTGTCGGATGAATATATTCACCGTTTGGTCGTTGTATTTGTTTCGATGAGCTTTATTTTTGATAAATTAGTAGTTCCTCTCTTCCGTTCAACGTTGTGTTTGCTGCCATTAAAGTTGTCGTTATGGGGAAAGGATCTTATTTAGTCATGTGAATACGACTGCATAACGTCAGTAATACGCAAATTAATTGTTTATATTGAAATTGTGAATATGGACTAAAATGTCATTTTAAAATGTTATTGAGCCGTGAATGCTAATTAGCTGGATGCTGCAGCTAGCATAGCAGGTTAGCAGCGCCATTTATTTTGTTTTACTGAGAAGTTCCCAGGGTTAGCTAGCTGTCATAAAGTCTGCACTGTTTGTAACAACACTGCACGTTATTTGAGTGTTTTTTTAAACGAGTGTGACGGTGTTTAGGTGCTGAATCCCTCATGTGCTAATGTTTGGCTCCACCTGGGCTCAGGTCTTGTCTGTGATGCGTTCAAACACAAATGTCTGAACATATGACTTTCTGTGATTCACACTTTTTCTGACTGAGACAAGACGTCCCTCGGCCCCTCGGTCTCCGTAGGGTGGCAGGGGGCTTGTTTCTCACTTTTTGTCTCTCCTCCCTCTGTCAGACGAAGGGGACTTCATCTTTCGGGAAGCGCCGGAACAAGACGCACACTTTGTGCCGTCGCTGTGGGTCCAAAGCTTACCACCTGCAGAAGTCCAGCTGTGGCAAGTGTGGCTACCCCCAGAAGCGCAAGAGAAAGTGTAAGTCCCACTTAAGGGAACTTATTTGGCTTTTCCCCCACAGGGAACAGCTGCCTGTTTCCTCTGAGCCACAAAATATGTCGAAACATGGCAACAAAATACACATTTTCCTTTCAAAAATGGAGATTTAAAGGTGTAGAGTAGAATTTACAGGTAGCAGTCGTGGTGTCGTTGTTAGATATACTCGGCCGGCCGGTTTGACTCACGAAACGAATAATCCACAGACAACTGGAGCGCTAAGGCCAAGAGGAGGAACACCACCGGGACCGGCCGTCTGAGACACCTGAAGGTGGTCTACCGCAGATTCAGGTGAGCCGCACAGATCCGAATGAGCTGAAACGGGGGTTTCTTTTAGCAGCCCCTCCATCTCTCCTTTAACCTGGTGGTGCTGTTCTTTTCTAGAGCTGAATAATAGATATTTATATATGAAAAGAAAATGAAGGAAAATCTCCAAAACATGACCAATTCAAACCCAACGGGTTCCTGGAAAAATCTTTCCTACACTTTCTTTTTTTAATAATCGGCCACCGAATCAGATATAATAACCCCACTTTTTACCTTTTTAATGCCAATTGATCCTTTCCTTTTAGACTTAGAGACTTAGACAGTACTTTATTGATCCCTTGGGAAGACTCCCTCTGGAAATTAATCCAAGACACAGTTTTTCTCATGAGTTTATTCTGCCGATTGGATCCAGACTCCACCAGACAAGTGTTTGGATTAAATTCTGTGAAAATCTGGTTTAAATTTGATGGGAGGGATGTTGAAGTAGGACCAGATCAGAGTAGGAAAAAGCGTTTCATTTAACCTTTAGTAAATATGTGATATTGGAAAATTTATGGAGCTAAACCCGACTTTGTAAATAATTTATTTTATCAGCTCTGACCACTAACTGTTGACATATTTCCTCAAAGTAATCTAAGCAAGACTCTTCCCTCTTACCTTAATTTACTCAAAAGTAAAGTTCAAATCCGTATATCCCCATTTTTCCTCTAGGTGGGAAGGATATCTTTCTTTTTAAAGTAGCATGTTTAGTGTTTTCTGCTGGTTGGCCAGTGGACGCTTCTTACTCCCTTTTTTCTGAGTAAACGGGCTGTAAACAGAATTCCTGTTTGGACGCCATCTTGGATCCGTATGACAGACATTCAAAAGAAAGAGGGAAACATTAGCTGTCTTTATCAGGTCATAATGACAGGTTTTTGGGGAGAGGGGGTGCTTACCGATGATGGTGAAAATAAAATGTCTGAACAAATGAATCTCTGTGATATGAGTTGTTTCTCTGAGGTAAGCACACCCCCCCCCCCCCCCCCGGTCAGGTTTACCAGGATGGATTCAGTCTGGATCCTCAGCATGTTTAACCCCAGGGGGAAACAGTAAAAAATGTCTGGCACTAAGAGGAGGCTTTTGTGGATTGGACCTGAATAAAAACTGGTCTTGTTTGTTTGCAGGAACGGCTTCCGGGAAGGCACCGCCCCCAAACCCAGACGGGCCGCCGTGGCCGCCTCCAGCTCATCCTAAGAGCCGCATTTTCACTGAATAAATGTGCTGTTAAACGGGAGTTTCGCTCCGTCTTTTCTGTTTGAACCAGCCTCCGAACTCGTTGTTTAAAAGCTAAGAAACGCAGCATGACGTCATTCACACAAAACGGGTGGTTGTCACCGTGAAACAAACCTGGAAGAATAAACAGATTTTCTCCTAAACTTGGCCCACATCAGATCTGGAGTTTTTGTTTTCCTGTTTGGGTTACAGATTGTGGGGAAAAATGTTTTTCCCCTCATTTTTAACTAACATGCAGGGCCCCAAACGAGCAAGAAGTCCAGCTACAAAGCTCTCCGTTAGCTGGGTTAGGGTTCTGTAGATTTAGCCCTATAACGCCAAATGTGTCATATTTGATACGGTTTCTGAAGTCTTTTGGATCTGAGACTTTTTGCATCATTCAGTGGTAAAAGCTTTGCTCAAACCCCTGTTGTACACATTCAGATATACCTGATAACAGCCAGTAGAGGACTACACCAAAATATATCTTATTGCACGCTAATTTGGTCAAAATAATTTGTTTTTTTTTTCATCATATGTTGTTGAGGGGCCAAAGAAAGACTTCAGACAAAAAAAAATCCAATATTCTTCCTATTTGTCTTGGATCAGGCTTTAAAGAGTTAAATAGCCTTTAGTCCAGAAGTTGTTTTTGTACCACAATGAATGAACTTAAAACAAATGTGGAGACTAAATGATCTGTGCAGGTTTAAAGGCCCAAAGATGAAATCAGGATTTAAATGTGGAAATTAAAGGGGACTATAAACCTGGTAAATTTGACTGAAAGGGACAAAAACTCACCTTTTTTTCCTCCTTTTTGTTTCTGTCTGTAATGACTGAATCTCAGCAGAAAGAACTTTTAAACCTTTGAAATGCCAATTCTAAACACCCACATATGCATCAAATCCTGATTACTTGACTCGTGGGACGAGTTCTGCGTACCGAAAATGACCCAATCACTATTCAGAATTACCTTTTAAAAAGAAAGAAAGAAAAAGACTGTAAACATCAACAAATGAGGATAAATATTTATCTGCTCCAGACAATACAGCTGAAGGTTTCCAGTCAGAGCTCTGACTGGTGACAGAGGGGTGTTTAGAGCCGGTCATGTTTGAAAACTCCCAGTTTTCCAAAACTGGACGGATCTGGGAAAACCCCAGAGAGACCTGCTGTGCATCAGGAGATCAAATCTGACCGAATGACGGTCGATTAGTCACAGACGAGACGTTCAGGGTTCAACCGGCAGCTGAATGACTCTGTGACAGCTCATTTTTAGTAGTAAGGCCAATTTTGAAACACAGATTCCTGAGACCTGGTGCAAAAAAAAACAAAAAAAGGGTTAGCCGTTCATGTTATAGTAAAAATATGCAGAAAATACTGATTCAATCTGATTAAAAACACATAGAAATCATATTTCATATTTTATTTTAGTTATTTTCTATCCTTTTTATTATTTCTTTTCATACACGTCAAACATGAGATGGACTGAATACAGCCAGTTCAAACCCAATAACAGTTGGTTTAAAATAACAAAATACACATTTATGTTAAAACAAAAAGACATTTTAAAATGTAAAAAGAGCATAAATAATAGATAACATACTCCCATGAAAATATACAGTCATATATATCATATATGCATATAAAGACATACACATAGAATATAAATATATATATTTAGAAAACACTGATTCGATCTGATTAAAAACTCATAGAAATCATATATTTTATTTTAGGTATTTTCTCTCCTTTTTATTTGGGATTTTTTTTCATACATGTCAAACATGAGATGGAATGAATACAGCCAGTTCAAACCAAAATTAAACAAAATACACATTTATGTTAAAACAAAAAGACATTTTAAAATGTAAAAAGAGCATAAA